TACAAAAACAATGTAGGCGAATTGGGATTAGAGAATGCACCCCTACTCTTATAATGAACCTGACTCACTGAGTCTTGGTCGACTGTTGTTATAAGGATATGTAGTTGAGTAAAGAGGATTAGTGCATCCACTGAGAAGTTAAAACAGGGTTAAAATAAAATGACAGGGATTAATGTATGCGATGATGAGATGTAGTTAACTTTTCACTGTGAAATACTAAATTGTTATAAGGATATGTAGTTGTGTAAAAAGGATAAGATCTGTTGTCACAAGTGACAACCTCAAGCCTTGCGCATGATTATGTTTTTTAAAATAATTAAAAACAAATAGAGACAAAATTTAAGCTTTTAAGACAGAGACTTCAGACGGCCGGCGGTTCCTGGTGGTAGACGACGGTGATGACAACAAGATTCTAATCTTCACAACCGCAGAGATGAGTGATATCCTTGCTGTGGCCGAAACAGTGTACATGGATGGAACATGTGTGCCCTGGTCTCTGGACCCAAGTGTATGTTTTGCACTGCCTTGTACAGGACCAGATGTAGCCAGTAGGGTTGGGTATTGCCAAAATTGCCAATGTCACGATTGTGATCAGAAAATGATAAGTAACAGAAATAAATAAATTCTTTTTGTCCTTCAACTACTTCAACTAGAAGAGTCCATTTTTAGGTCATAGGGGTGCCACTAGTTCACCATTGCGTAATCAACAGTCAACAGACCATGACATGTTGTTTTAAGACTTTAGGCGAAATAAGAACATACCTATGCATACACTTGTCTTAAATCTCTGTGAATTGGAACGGGGCTTAACGATGCGGTTACTGTTATTGCACTTACATAGCGTTTGTTTGACGTTTAACACCGCACTCAGTAATATTGGAGCTACGTTCCGGGGGTCTGTAAATAATCGAGTCTGGACCAGGCAATCCAGTGATCAACATCATGAGCATCAATTTTCGCAATTGCTATACAATGACATGTGGCAACCAAGTCAGCAAGTCTGATCACCCGATTCCGTTAGTCGTTTCTTACGACAAGCATGGGTTACAGAGTATCAATTCTAACCTGCATCTTCACGAGTGACAAACGCTGCCATCATCATTTTTCCTGGTTTGTTGTTTAATTTTGACGCCGCACTCAGCAATATATCAACATGTCTGACCACCCGATTCCGTTGGTCGTTTCTTACGACAAGCATGGGTCCTTGAAGACGGATGTTAACCTGTAGTTTCACGCGTGTTTACATAGCAACGTACACGCACGTTCGTCCGCTCATCACGTTGAAGACTCGGTTCGATTCCCCACATGGGTACAATGTGTGAAGCCCATTTCTGGTGTCCCCCGCCGTGTTATTGCTGGAATATTGCTAAAAGCGGCGTAAAACCATACTCACGCACTCACTCACACGCACGTTAGTGTGTGGTTGATTGTATTAGTCCAGCATTAGTCCTGGTCCACTGACATACCATGCCAAGGTCTGGGCAACCAAATCAGACTCTCCTTGCTTCATCATTAGAGTTAAGCATTGTTTGATGTCTTTCACTGAACCATTCCTTCTCTGCCCAAAACAACCCGAGAACATCCGGGTTAGAGTTGGTCTTCAGCAACCCATGCTTGTCACTTTTGACTTTATTACTCAAATGAACCACCAACGGTGGTGCATGTGTCACATTTTACACATAGTTATTACAAATTACAAGATGGTATATACAAGATTCGGAAATCTTGACAGTTTTTTTCAGGACATGGTATCTTTTTATTCCCAACAACTTGCTTATATTTTGACATTTTAGGCCATTTATGAAAATAATCACTGATAAGGAAAGAACGTTCATTCGCCAATAGTTTACATCTAAATAAATAATGGAACTCGTTGCCAATTTGTTGAGAATAACAAAATGTACAAAATCTCTCTTCGCGAGGAATGTTCGACCAGCGACCCTTTTGTTTGCAATTTGTGATTACTTGTTCTAAAATATAGTAAAGGTTTAAAATGGTATCTGTGAGTAATAAATACTTTTCAAAACATGTTGAATCTTAAATAATGGAATAGTAAAAACCTTTTAGAGAATCCCGAATATCACTTCTCCAGGACTGCAAAAACTCGTCCTTTAAAATTAGTGATTGAGTGATTGAGTTTAGTTTTACACCGCTTTTAGCAATATTCCAGCAATATCGCGGCGGGGGACACCAGAAATGAGTTTCACACATTGTCACCATATGGGGAATCGAACCCGGGTCTTCGGCGTGACGAGCGAACGGTTTAACCACTGGGTTACCCCACCGCCCCCTTTAGAATTTCGTAAGCATTGCGTTAATTCAAGAAAACTTACACAAAAACACCAAATCGATTTAAACATATAACATTTCTGAACATTTCTCCATAAATCATTTCACCCAAATATATCACTTAATTGGTCACAAAAAGCGACCCAAATTTGAAAAAGGAACGTTTCTGTTTCTGCACACGATTTGAATTCGCATCTGCATCACACAGATAATGCTTGGTATAGGTCTAGTTAAATATCAGAATAGTGGGCGCTTTGTGGATCACTATTGATTTTCGGCGCTCTCAAACGGTCTCCTATTCATTCTTCGAATACCTAAGTAGACCAATGGGAATACCACATTTATTGCATATACACCGACGTTACCAGTCCACAATGGTTGTTCGGGTTGTACATCACCCTTCCTCGACTCTCTGAATGAAAATGTCACCTCCACTTTCATATTATAGTTATGTAAAGCCTAACCATTCTTTTAATCAGTAAGTCAAACGTCGGTTCGGTGCTCCGCTGCAGTGCAGCACAATGAAAGCATGCAGATTTTACGCTGAGGTGAACTGTGGGGAGCTTTCGGGGAGTGATTAACATAACGGAGTTTATAACTGTTTCGCCTGGTTGAGGGTATGTTAAATATGATCAGTGTACAGCTAATGCCCAATTCAGATCTGAGCTGTCGCAGCCGGGGAAGACGTGGTCGGTTTAATACTTGCCTATCTGGAGTGATTGAACGGATCATTACTGCCCGCTAAACAATTCGCCGCAATGTCACCGCCAGAGACCAAAGAGCGGGTTGACCCGGAAGGAGCTGATTCCAGCTCGTCTACTCCTGTGAGCCTTATATTCTGGCTTCGCTTTTGATGATTAGGAAGTAATTTTGGTGCATTTCCTTAATAACTTATCGATAAATGTTATTTTTCGAAGCTCATGGTCGGCTATTTGTTTGTGACGAGGGCACGACTGTCAAGAAGAGATAGTGGTGTAACGACATCTCTCCTCTTGGGGATTGGGTGGCAGTAATGATCCGTGACCTATCACCCTGACCAAAATAGGGATCCGGTGATTTTAGTGCGTTGACGGTGTGGATTCAGGCACATAATGCATCGGGGACGGCAGTGGGGATAATTTATAAACACCACTTTCTGTCTTAAATAACCCATTTATATTCTCATTTCTCTCGAGATGATACTTTTGTATTTAAAGTTGTATCATGCTGATATTTACGTGAGAATCGCACTGCTTTTCAGAAACTGAGAAATATATAAACAAATAGTAACGATGATAATACTATTACCAGTACTCAACTACTGTGACCCGTGAAGATCCGGGTTAGAATTGATCTTCAGCAACCCATGCTTGTCGTAAAAGCGACTAACGGGATCGTGTGGTCAAGCTCGCAGAGTGAGTGAGTGAGTGAGTGCGAGAGTGAGTGGATGGGTGGGTGGTGCTTATGGGTGAGTGAGTGAGTGGGTCGGTAGGTTTGAGTGAGTGAGTGAGTCCAGCATATCACGGCCGGGGACACCACAAATAAACTTCGCTGATTGTACTCACGTGAGGAATCAAAACGGGTCAAAAGAATTATGAACGATTCCTTTAACGCTGTAACTACAAAGCACAGATGAAGGATAATACGAGTGAGTGAGTGTTTGTGCAACTTTTAGCATATTCCATCAACATCACGACAGGAAACACCAGAAATGTTTATAGATACATACATACGCTCAGACAAACATATTCCTGGCTATGAGTCAAACCGTGTATCTCTGGTGTATTTGAATTAAACGATGACACACTGGGTGAAACAGTGCGCTGTTTCACTTTGTAACACAGATGCCTCGCCGATGCTCCATTAAACAATAACTTCAGGCACAGTTCAATGACTCCCTACAGGAACGACCTCAAAGTCAAACACGGCCAAGCATGCCTTGTATATTGTTCGTCGAACCATATGCACGTGTATTACATGATCAGTTAACTAGCTTTTGGGGATTTTTTTTTGTATAGGTGATATGAAGTACGCACAATTTCGATTACGTCTATCATGATTAATTGTTTAAAGGCCGTTATGATGCAAATGCGATTCGGGTATTTTATATGATGGCGTTGGGATACACAAATATCTTCTCGAAAGAAGGAAGTGGACAACCACGCGTTAGGCACGTTGAAACAGGTGTCGTAAAGCTGCAGGATGCACCCTATACCCACCCCACATCGAAACCCATCATGTCCAGATTCACCGTCACAGGTGATTGTCACAAAATATTCTGACACAAAGAACCCGTAAAGATCCGGGTTAGAATTGGTCTTCAGTAACCCATGCTTGTTGTAAGATGCGACTAACGGGATCGGGTGGTCAGGCTCGCTGACTTGGTTGACACATGTCATCGTATCCCTGTTGCGTAGATCGATGCTCATGATAGCAATCACTTCATTGTCTGGTCCAGGCGTGGTTATTCGTAGCCGTCATATAGCTGGAATATTGGTACGGTGTTAAAGAATAAACACACATCTTACTGATTATGAGCTGATCGGTAAAACAAGCTAACGGTATATATTACAATATGGACAGATGGACAATATTTACAGATCGCAGCCATATAGCTGGACTATTTCAGAGTTTGGTGTTAAACAACAAACACACCAAAATCTGACATAACGGACGAGGAAGGAGTTTATTGGGGAAAAAAGCTACAGGCAACATTGTAGAGTTCGTTTACGTACTTTTTACACGTATTCCGCACATGCATAAAAACCTGCATACAATCATGATCATACTTTTGCATTTATAATTTCATGCGTAGATTTCTTTCCAAAATGCGCTGACATTCTGAAAAGGTTCTTTGACGGAAATACATGTACATGTATATCTATTGACTACTGATACGTTTTCAAAGGAAAAATAATAACATTCATAATAATATCTGGAATCAATATTTCCTTTTTTCATAAAATGCATAAATTAACTGCCAATGATATTTTCTATTATTTAAAGGTCACATACACTACATGTTGGATCTATGGTCATTATTATAATGGACCATTATTAAACGGTATGTTTTGCTGGGTTATTGACTGGGTTGTTATCAAAGCAACGCATATATTTCAAAGCATACGCAGCTATTAACCATGACCTCTAAGTGAACCCTGTTCACCAGTTATCTTTACGATAGACCATACAGTTGATCACGGTGTCCACAAACAACCAGTCATGCTATCAATGCTGTCCGTTTGGACCAAAGTCGCCGGCTGGTGCATTTGAATTGAACATGATTAGTCATCAAAACATATCGTGAATAGGTAATTTAAACCACTCTGCATCAGAGGGCCTAGTCACCAGGCGCATAGTAAGCTGTCAATTTACATACCACCATCGATCAATAACAACTATTGTTTGTCGGTACTCACTAGACCCTATCAAGTACAGTTATATGAACCGTTATCCGATGGACCACACAGTCACCAGTCAATCCCCTATCAAGTCGGACCTGTGCTTTCCACGTACATCCATTAACTAATTTCTCCTGCCTACTTGAGAACCCTGCGTTAATGAACGCCCTACATGGAATCGGTATTTAAACGCTGGGGGGTGCTGTTACTTCGGAACGGAAAATGGTAATTCTCCCGTAAACTGCATTTGGCATCTTTGTCTCTTTTATCACATGGTAATGAGACTAACCAAATGACGTGTATACCTTCGGGTGCGGAGAGCTGACATCCCAAAAGATGCGTATCCCAAACACATCTCCCAGTGTGACGTACTTGCTTCTGAAAACACGTGTAACATGTGTTGGGCTACCAGAGCTCCCTGTGGGAAGAATCCACTCTGAAATATAGAACTACAATTTAGATGGATATTACTCATTTGGGGGATGATGACGTTGAGAACAGAGTACATATGATGCATCACCTTCCTGTCTTCTGACAAACGCAATCACCTCAATCCTGAAAACTTGTGGTCATTGACAGTCTAGTCAAGAAACAATGAGTGAGTGAGTTATTATTTAACGGCACATCGGCAATATTGCAGCCATGTCAAGAAACAAAGCGTGTAAATACAAAAAAGACTTCTTTTCATGATTTGATTATGTTTCATGAATATATATATGCTTATGATACGATCAGAATAGTACAACGGACTGTGCTTATAGTGGACACTCCTTGGGAATATAGAATGAATGTGTCCTTTACATTTACCAAGAAACACGTTTTTCTTACAAAGTGTAAAAAGCACAGATGACACATTTTCTAATTTACTGACAAACACAATCTCCTCAATCCTGAAAACCGATTCTCATTGACATTGCAAGCACAAGGCACGTTTTTCACGATATGTGGAAATTGAACAGTTCTTTTCATGATTTGATTGTGCTTCATGAATATATGTTTATGATACGATCATAATAGTACAACGGACTCTGCTTATAGTGGACATTCCTTGAGAATATAGAATGAATTTACATTTACCAAGAAACACGTTTTTCTTACAAACTAAGTGAAAAAGCACATATGACACATTTTCCAATTTACTGACAAACACAATCACCTCAATCCTGAAAACCGGTTGTCATTGACATTGTAAGAACGAAATACATTTTTCACGAAATGCTGAAATTGAAAAATTCTTTTCATGATTTGATTGTGCTTCGTGAATACATGTTTATGATACAGTCACGATCGTAGAGGGTACTTTGCTTATAGTGGACATTTCTGAAGAATATGGATCGTTTTGTAGCTGACATTTATCAATGCATACCTCAAAGGTACTGCCTCAAAGGTAGTGTCAATATCACTGTTTCCTTCTTTCTTCATCGACGACTTACAAGTTCCTGGTCTCACACTCCTTGGACTATTTTCCCTTCCGCCCAACCGTTTCTGCTCTGCTATTTTTTAAAGCCCTAAATGAAACAAGTCTAAATTTAAACATTAATTTTCTGAAACTCCCTTCTCACTGGGACTGCTTTTCAGTTTAAAAGAAATTGTTTGTTTCTGTCAAAATGATATATGTTCAGAGACTAAGCGTTAGTCTAACGACTTAACTGAGTTCCAAGAAACTCAATAGTAAACTAATACAACATTGAAACACCTGCATCTCATGACTACATCTCATACCAGATAACATTGACAAAAAAAGGATGATTCATTCTATGATCCATGATCTACACACAATGAGCCGTGAGGGCATGTGCAAATGAGCCAGCCGTTACACTTGAGTGCACACCCACCCGCTCTGACTGGGTTCGGTAACCCGGCTGCTTCGTTTCTTGGGAAGTAAACCCAAGTTCACAATATTGCACTTTTGATTTGCGATTGTACGCTTATAATTTTGTTTATATGTTTTTTCATAACCAGCAATGTATATTATATGTCATGAATAAGTGATAATTGTGTTTTAATTATGTTTGATATATGGTTGCATGTGACCTTTAAGATTCACGATATCGGTACTCTTGTCTCCTATGGCTAAGCTTATAATTTGAATCATAAGTGTGACCAGTAATTAATACAGTCATTAAAGTAACATCTTGACCTGACTTGATGAAGCCGTATCATAGAACCGTTAGGCGTGTTAGAGCCAAACACACGCGTGGACATCCAGAACAGTAGCCGAATAAGTGGTGTAATTTAATGAGTATTTGCGTCTAATCTTCTTGCATTATTCAAGAGGAGGTCAGCTAACGAGCTGCTTCCACCACGTGTGTGTGTATTTATTACTGCGGACCATCAATAGCAGCAGCTGCAGCCCCGAGATGACTAAATAAAGACCATGGCTGTCTCTTCAAGACAAGACTTATGACTCCCAAGAATGCAGCTATAATGCACCGTGGGGTTACGCGCAGTTTCAATATTCCTGTACAAGGAGTCTTGGGATTGGGGCATGGGGTAAAGCGTTAGCTCGTCACCCGAAGATCGGGTTCGATTTCTCCAAATGAGTTCAATGTGTGATGCCAATTTCTGGTGTCCCCCACCGTGATGTTGCTGGAATATTGGTAAAAGCAATATCACTCACTTCCTCATGATACAGGGTTTTACTATAGGACGTCAAGTCCATAGGACTTTTGCAAGGCTCTTTGCAACAAATATGAACGGCCTGGTGTTTTGGTGTTTAACGCCCAACTCAGCAATATTCCAGCAATAAGGCTGGGGTCTGTAAATAATCTAGTATGGACCGGACAATTGAGTCATCAACGGCATGAACATCGATCTACGCTATTGGGACATGATGACATGTGTCAACCAAGTCAGCGAGCCTGACCACCTGATCCTGTTAGTCACCTCTTACGACACGCATAGGTTACTGAAGACCAATTCTAACCCGGGTATTAATGAATTAGTGAAGTGTACTATACTGTAAAATATAACTACAGAATTCTTGTCCAGCATTTGGTACAATGAATATTATTGTACGTCTCTCGGGACGCCAAGTATCTTTTGTCGGTTTCTATTCTATAGATCTTTTGTTCTTTAAGTCGAATAAATCATTAATGACATCATTACACATATGTGTGAGTTAATATTTTGTTTCAATTTTTACACAATATTGTTTCATTTTGGCATTTTGACAATGTAGGGAATATCAATTCATCATTTTAATGGATTATTAACTTGAAATCGTCGTAAAAGTGAGAGAAGAAGTGATTCGGTACTGAATTTAAATGATTTTGTAATGAAAGGTGGAACCAGTGTTAATGCAAATGCTAATTTCCATACAACTTATTTTGGTGTAATACGTAGATTAGAGGACTACAATATGTAATAAACTGGTAACATTGGCTCCAGTAGTCTGACAATGAACAATATGAAACGATCTGGGTGCGTATATGGACTCACGAGTTACCATACTGAAGAATAAGTCTCTTTATTGAACTACAATATCAAAATCTTTACTAATGGGCAACAGTTCCTGGTTTTTGTGTGAGTGTTCTTTTCACGTTGCAGTAAAGAATGTATATGCATACTTGCTTGATGTCAATATCGACGTCGCTGTCCACGCGAAACAAACATTGTGCCAGATGATTGATGGAGCATTCACTTATGGTCGTGTTCATTCATAAAAACTGCACTCGTGGTACTGCTTAATAGGAGACAATGCTAACGGTTCTTGTCGCAGAATTAACGGTTAATACTGGCATCGTGCTGAGTCGGCGCCATTGGCCGATAACTGGGACATAGTGTAGCCTTAAATGATTTCATTCAGATCTTCGCTAACGTGTCAGCGAGCCTGTCTTGGGACGGATAATGAGAATCGCCAGCAGCACTCAAAGGTGTTTGTATTAACGCCGCAAATACATGCTGGAGATAGGACTGATTCAGAAAATCCGAGCCCGCGGCTACAAAGGCCTATTTCAGGATTTTGTTATGCTAATACGGCAGCAACAAACAGGATGTTTCCAATCAGCCTGGGGTGTAGGATAATGCTTGTTGATTCGCGTCGTAGATACAATGAAGAGGGTGAGTGTGACAGTTGCACATATCTTTTGATGTTGGGATGACGCTCAGAAACAATCGGCGTATATAAGTTATTGTTTTTAAACAGATTCCGATTTGAAGAACATCAGAGCAGGTGAAGGTATCACATTTAGAGGACAAGACAGATTTAGTGAGTTTCGTTTTATGCCGCTTTTAGCAATATTCCAGCACAGACCCGTAGCACCGATATTTCAGAAGTGTATGTGTGTGGGGTGGGGGGGGGGTGGGTGGGGGTGTGTGTTTAGGGGTGGTGGTAGGGGAATTTGCATTTTAGTAGCTCAGTGTGTGTGTGTGTTGTGTGTGTGTGTGTGTGTGTGGGGGGGGGGTATTAAAGTATTAACGTAAACGTTAGTGTCAGAAAATACTACTATTATATACTACAGTTAACATGTCTTTATTCAGATTCATTCATACTTCATAGATCAGAATTTACCAAATGTGAACAGCCTGTGTTCACTTCTTCTCACAAAGTCATTTGCTATATCTCTCAGGTTCAGGTTGTCTGTTTTGTCTCTGTGCACATGAAGTACCATCAAGGGTCATAGTGGATCTCAGATATGTCTTCAACCTCCAAAGGCTACTGAAGGACCTTTCACTCGTTGAGTTTGTTGAGGGCATTACTTGGATGAGCTTTATAACAGTGACAACTTCAGTGAAGGGACTGACACCTGTCTCCTTCACGTGGGCCATCACGTCTGAGACATCCAACTCTTTGCTTTTCGACATATTCACTGACAGAATATTCAGCTGTGTTGCAAAAGCAGAGCTATCAATATCTGATCCATAGAATTTGGAAACAAAGTCAAATTCGCTTGTGTAGTCTTTTCCTGCAGCAACATTAAGGAGTAGAGTCTCCAGGTTCTGGTAGAGCATATAGCCAGGTTGATTAAACCTGTCTCTGATGCAGCTGGTGACCAACTCTAGAGCCATGAAATACACTTGTCTGTAATACTCCTCTACTGTCTGAGGTACATTGGGAGGTGCTCCATCATCTATTCTCTTGGGTGTCCTTTTCTCCCTTGGTAGAACTGGCCCAGGCACATCAAGCTGTGTGGCTTTGATTTTTATGGTTTTGCCAGAACAGAGAGAAGTGTTCATCATTTCTGATGCTTCTAAGACAGCTACGGTTGAAGAAGCCATCTTCTGTCCACGTGCAGCTGATATATTTACCTGGAGAGATTTGCTGAGATTGTCACTGTTTCTAACAGTTCGCACAAAAGAGGAAGTTAAATGTTCTCATGTATGCAGACACTCCTCTAATTCGACTTTTCATCTCCGAATCTTTGACATATTCCATAGAATCATCCCATACTTCTAACAGGACATCGTAGTTGGCCATAACACTTTCAATGGTGTCTGCTTTCACAGTCCTCATTGTTGGACATTATACACGGATGCCCAAAGAATGTTCAACATTCATATTTTCCTTGATCTTTTTGAAAAGACCATGACGTTTTGGGGATTCTTTTATCAATTTGGTGATCTCGTGTATGATGTCCAATGTGTCCCGAAGACGGTTGCACATTTTTATGATATCTGAGCATGCAAGATTAAGTGCATGACCATAGCAATGAGTGTACACAGACGCTACTCCTTTTTTCACCCCTGCCATATTTGCTGCCTTACGTAACATTGTCCTCTAACTTGTGACCAATTCAGATTCAACCTCCGGAGTACATCATTGATTGCCTCAAATATGGTTTTAGCTTCAATGTTTGCAACCTCGTACAATCCAACAAATTCTTCATGTCCCTCAAAGTTCTAATCAATCCATCTGATGCAAACTCCAAGTTGCTCTTTACTAGACACATCATCACATTCGTCTGCCATTATTGAAAAGAAAGTACTTTCTTGAACAGGTTGTATCACCTCTCTGTGTTTGTCATAATATCAAGAAGGAGGTTTTGTATCTCGGGCGAAGTATAACTATCTGTTTTCTTTTTCAACCAACTACTCATCTTTGTCTTGGAAGACAGGTAACTGAAGAAAGTTTGAATCAGTCTCAGTTTAGTCACCTATGAGACCTAGTCCTTGACGTGCAAGAAACTGTAGACATGACAGGATGTTTAGAAGACATTGTCTGTTCTCCTTTCTAGTTTCATCAAACTCTGTTGACAGCGAGTCACCAATGTCTTTTGTATGCAGAGGCAATACAACTACTCTTTCTACTGCTTCTTGATGGCTTTTACTCTTTTCGTGTTTCTCAAATTTCTCAGTAGCCTTCTTCCAGTTGTTGTATCCGTCAAAAATGAAAACTTTCTTTGTGCAAGGGTTAGAGAGTTTATTTTCTTGGATTGCTTTTATGCAAATGAAACAAAAGACACTATCTGAGTGTTCATCATAATGAAGTCACTTCCATTTCTGGAACCACCCAGTCTGGCATGTTCTCTTGTGAGTACCAATCTTA